AAAAAAAAAAAAGAAGAAACGTACTTTCCCTGAGAAAGATTAACCAACGGGAGACTGGTTCAAGTTAGAATCGATAACAAATCGATGCTAGCCCTAACGATTGAGTTTTATCACTAGCGATTGATATATTAGCACCAACGGTTGATTTTTATCACTAGCAATTTATATTTTTGGCACAAATGGCTCCCCATGGATTACGACTCCAAATACGGTTTCGAGCTCGAGCGAGTTCGAGATGACTAAGTACCACACCTTGTCGGTGAATGAATTTTATTTAGTTTATTTTATTTAATCATTATTCAAACCAGGAGCCCATCACTTATGGGCTCCTGTTTAAACACGGTAAAAAAATTCACCAGGTACTGAAAAACTAACAAATCCTATTATTTCCCTATAGCCCATGCGAGCGTGGTTACATTGTGCACGTGGGAACAACGCTTCGTCTCTGATCAATTATTAGTCCTCAGTGAAGCCAACTCTGCCGAGAGGACCTTAAATCAGGAACATAACATGGTGAGTTATTTCGAATGTGATTGTGGTGTGTTTTTATAACGTTTTGCCGGATCGAAAAAGAAAACGATTTTTTACTTTCGTCAAAACTCTTCGAACTGGCGTCCAGTGATGTACCAGCATTTATAATTTGGGCGATTTTGATGTTTAAGCTTACTTTAGTGGGCAGGATCTACACAATTTGATACTTTTGCTGGAATTTTATGCTTACTTGCAAATAGCAAGGTGACGTGAGAATATATAACACAAATCTTAAGATCTCTAAATGCGTGAACATGCAGCAACTTGATTTCAGCACTGCTAGATTAAATTTTGTGCCTGTCATGCTTGCAATTGGACGGTGAAACCAAATGTTACGTACCATGCCTCTGTTATTGGACAATTCACATTAGTTGTGGGTGAACACGTAATTTTATAAACTATTCGTATGATGTTCTTGTGGGGGAATGTTTTTGTAAGTGAAGGGTATTTTGTTTCTTCAATTTTGTATTTGGTTTGAAACATTGTCATAGTGTTGTCCAATTCTTTGTTGTTTATGATTGACAAATCAGAACCCCACTTTGTAGTCATACGATTTTCGTAATCACTTGAAGTATTACAGAATTAGAAGGAATTGAATTGTAATTGGTATAGGCGGTAACATGATTTCTCCTGCAGTGTGTTGTTAAAAAGCACAAGTAAAATTTTCAACGACAACAAAATTGCACGAACCTGCAGGGTAAGTGCAGTTTGTAGTCTTTGAAAAATTTATTAGTGCTGATTACACCAAATTGGAGGAGGAATTATGTTGTTACTTGGTAATCATTTACATGAAAAAAGCATCACAGAAAGTCAAGACAGACAAAGTTTTGACAGTGTGCACATGCTATTTGTTATATGCACTTATGTTACAACTTTGCACTTTTGTTTCAACTTTGCACCCGTTTTACATGAAAAATGCACTTATTTTCAGCCAATCAGAGGTGTGTAATTTTTTCATGTATATTATTTTATTATTATTATTGTTGTCATTATAATTATTATTACAAATTTGCCAAAAATACTGATCTGGGTTTGGCTGTTTAAAGGGTGGATAAAGCTATCCAACAGGTAAATCACTGTCCAGCAGACAAGTATTAGCCACACATATTGTGTTATCCACCAGATAGAGATTTATCTAGGGGCTATTATCCATTCTGTGAACAACCAGGTCTCAGTTCTTCATTGATGAACAGCATTGAGATGTAGATAGATATTTGATGGTCACTTTATTCTGAAGTTGACTTTGGTGTTAACGATCTTTAGGCAAGTGATGAAGTTAACCCAAAGGCCTTCCCATTGGCTGATCCACAACTGACGGTGACCATCCTTGATCTCCTTCAGCAAGCTTCCTCATACAAACAGCTCAGGAAGGGAGCTAATGAAGGTAATGATTTACATGAGATGTGGTTGAGTGTGTGACCAAATGCCGTTTGTAAGCATACTAAAATTCAGTTATTTCCTATTGCAACAAATTGCCGAAGCCATAGCGTTGTAGAGATGCCACATTTCCCAAAAAAAAATGTTGGCAAAAAGGGGGAATGCTTATCAGAGGGAGGGTGTTTGATGAAGGGGTGCACTTGTTAAGTTAGCAGTAAAAGAACAGATAATACACATGAAGGTACCCTTCAAACAAATGCAGATAGAAATAACTTTATCCTTTAACTCCTAGTAGTGATTAACATGTAACTTCTCCCCCATAATATCCATCCATAATCCAGCACACAGGTATAGTTGAACCTCGCTTATCCAGACCTCAATTATCCGGATTTCTCGATTATCCGGACTTATACTCTGATCCCAATTTTGTCATGAATATTTATTAGTTATGATCAAGATCCGTAGCCATATTCTTTAAAACTATAGCGTTGAAAAGTGAAGTAAAGGTATGTCAGTTTCACTTTCAAAAAGCAAAAGCAGCACTGGCACGCGTTGTAACTAATAAAGAATATTCAAATGAGATCTGATTGGTTTAGAGTTGCTTTGTTGCTAAGTGAGATTTCACGCTCTATTGACTCGTTTTGCGCGGTATGCAAGATAAACAAGCTACACAGCGGGTTATTCACGATCATCATGTCCTTGATTTGTAAATGTTTTGTTTCACGATTAAATGTCCATTTCTTGATTTAATCAGTTTTCGTTCCTCATAAATATTCATATTCTCGATTTTCCGGAACCTCTAATATCCAGACTATTTCATTTAGTCCCAACGATTCCAGATTGGTCTTCTCTTATTTCTGAAACCGTATTAAGGTATATTTCGCAAAATAGTAATTTTAAAAGAGATACTATTTTGCGAAATGACTATTAATCGATTTCGAAAAATAGTAACTCCTCTCAAACTACTACATTGCGAAATGAATAAAAATCCTTCTTGTTTATAATTAACGATTACTCCAAAATCCTCGTGAAAGTTATCTTTAACTTCTTACAAAACATATCTACATTATTTCTTTGTTTTATTTTTATATCTCGCCTGGTTTTGTTTCGTTTCGTTTCGCAAAATAGAATGAGCCGCTCAAAGGTAGGTTGACAGTCTCGACTGGATACTCGATCCTTAACACCCGAAACTATCGAGGATCGAGATACTCGTAGAACTTTTCGAGGATATAGAGAAAACGATTTAATTATTGCATGCAAAACAATGGCGAAGGACAAAGCGCTTGACACGCGGCTCCTCTTTAACTCACGGACAGCCCGCAGACAACATGCAAATATTTTCATATCGCGAAAGACTCGAGCTCCTGTCAAGCTCAATTTTAGTGTTGATGATATTGAATAAAGCATGCGTTACATTTATATTTACGTCTACAAAACTTAACTTTGGAAGATATAAACTTTGAGATTACGAGCGCCGGAAGTTTTCTTCGATCTCAGAATAATCAACCGACAGATAAAAGTGTAATCAAACATATTTCCACTGAAGCGATCATCTAATCATTCGATGATAATTTGATTCCTTTTATCCTTTTAACGACGTTTCTTACTGATTGCAGATAATATTAGAGCGAATATTGAAAACCACGGCAACATGCGATGTTCGTAAGTTAAGCTGGCGACACATGGCTATTTTTGCCGATCGCCGCGACCGGCGAATAAAATCGCCAGGTGTGTCACCGGCTTTACATGTACTATAAATTGGTTTGTGTGACCCCTACACACAAATATCCATTCCAAAGTAAGAGGAACCCAGCCGATGAAGCTTCTTCTCTGACGAATGAGAAAAAATTATATCAGAACAGTAATCAAAAAATGCATTTATCTACTAAGACAAAAAATCATTTAACAAAGTGTAAACTAAAAAAGTCGACTTGACGCCATCGTCTCGTCACAGTCTCGCGTCCAAAAGAGGCATAAACCGGTATTTTGTTTTCTTTTTTTCCGATCAGCATCAAGCTCTAGTGTCAAACTTCATAAAGTAAAACTAGGAAACCTGAAAACTGTGTTAGACGATGAAACTGGAGATGTGTAAAGAAAGGAAATTTCGGACATGGCGGAGTAGTAAAGACGCTTTTCAACATCGTGATAAATAATAACGATCAGGCGCGAGATAACAAAGAGGGTTACGCATACAGTATAGATAATAATATCTGCGTGGTTGTTGTCCAAAAAAATCAGAACTACACTTGAATTTCGAGCAAAGTTTCGCTCGAGGTAACGAAGAGGGTCACGCACACAGCAAAAAAATAAATAATCACAGAACTACACGTGTATTGTACTTCGAGCAAAGTTTCGCCCTATCGGAAACGATGCACGCTATACGGATTTTCAATCCATGGTTTAGCTTAAAGGTAAGGAACTTCAAATCGTGTGAAAAAGTAATCGCGCGAAAACTCCTTTGTTTCCCAGCTTCGAGGGTCTCGAACCGAGGGTCTCAATACTCGACTGGAACGTCTTGAAACTCATCTCAAGCCTCGATCCTCGAAGTTATCGAGTATCGAAGTTCGAGGGACTGCCAACTTACCTTTGAGCGGTACCGCAGAAGTTGTTATCATGATCAAACAAAAAATTATTGTAACTAACGTACAAAGAAATGTGTAGCAGCTAGAGGAGAGAATTAACAATCTGATATTGGGATTCAAAGGGTTAAGGGAACTTCATGGAGAAGTAACCATTTTCCAGTACTGATTTCCTTGTAGTTGAAGCTTGAAAGTTATTGACCCTTTAACTCCCAGGATCTGATTGTTGATTCTCCCCTGTAGCCGCTACACATTTCCTTGTAAATTAGTTATGAGAATTTAGTGCTAGATCAAGATAGCAGCTTCTACTTGATAAGTTTGAATATTCTCATTACCTGTTTGCTGAAGAATGTATGGATATTGTAAGGAGAAGTTTTATGTTAATCACTTCTGGGAGTTAAAGGGTTAATAAAGTAGCAATAGAAACAGGTTTTCCTTGTATCCCTACTTTTTAAGAAAGTAAGGGAGGAGGTAGGCACTTATTGAAGAGGGGCTATGTTTCACATTGTAGCCTAAGGGGTGGGTGCTTATTCAGGGAATGGTGGTCATTAGAGCATAGGCCCTTATTCAAGGAAATACTGTAATGGTGTTCATGAAATGTCACCACTTGTTGTCTGTGAGCATTTAGATATTCACTCTTTCTTTTAGCCACCAAGTGCCTCAACCGTGGTGTTGCTGAGTTTATTGTTATGGCAGCAGATACAGAACCACTAGAAATATTGCTCCACCTTCCCCTCTTGTGTGAAGATAAGGTAGGGAAGTTCATTAAATTGTTGTTAAACATGCATAATTACAGGTACGGTGAAACATTATAGCAAAAAAATTTAAAGAACATTTTTGTAATAAAAAATAGGTAAGTTTTCATTCTGCAGTGGCATTCAGAAAAAAGGATGCTTGGATGATACAAAACCTTTTTCCAATTTGAGACAATTTTTATACTTGTGTGTTAAAATCAGTAGCCTTCTTTGCCCTGACTGCTCCCTAAAATTGAACAGAATTTTAGCTTAAACAAGGATAGGATGAGTTAGGATGAGGAGTTTGCAAGTTAGGATGAGCCCATTTATACAATGCCAATCAACTGAACCATAATAATTG